CTCAGCCTCTAACAGANAAATGGAATTTCGTTCTACGTGGTGCGAAAACGCATGGACCTGGAAATCTTCATTGCCCTCTATTCCGTTACGCCTTTGGCTCTACTGCCCGCCCAAAATCCTCGGACTTCTTTACGACAGATGCTTTACCATCCTCGTTTCTTCTTTTGCTTCTGTGTCTTCTCGTTTTTCTACCTTCTTACTTTCAGAATTGTTCGTAGGTACCCTTTATTTTATGGGGTACGCGGTAGCGTAGTTGGTTGAGGCACCCTACTAAAAGCCGGAAGGTCGCGGGTTCGATTGCCAATGTCATGGGGGTTTTAATTGACCTAATCTTTTCAGCCGCACTATGCCCCTGGGGTCGACTCAGCCTCTAACAGAAATGAGTACCAGGAATCATCCTGGGGTAAAGAGCGGCCGGCGCATAAAGCTGACAACCTCACCGCCGTCTATGAGCTGACTGTCTGGAAAATGTGAAAGTCTCGACGTCTCACAACCCTGTGAGCCTCCACGACCTGTTACAGGGACAACTTTATACTTTCATCTTATCCATTCCGACCCTGAACTTTCAGTGTCAGATCAGGGTTATAAAGCAGTTGCTTTAGATCTTTGTTTTTTCTGATTTTCCAGGCTTCTTGCTTAGATTGTGGTCCATACACCTACCTCAAATTATTATTCTGCTATATTCTTAATTCCCTAACTTTGACAGCACCAACATGGCGGGCGGCCTTTTAATTTTGATAGTTGTGAATAACATTAGGCTCATTTAATCTAAACCCCAGGGTTTGTATGCAATCGAACTGTTTAAATAAGAGTAAATGTAAAACAATTTAACGACCCTGAAGATGGAAAATCGAAATCTGGTGGCTTGCTTGAATTGTATATGTTCCTTTTCGTAGTGATGACTGATAACCGACGAAACATGAAATCTCACACGGAAGTTAATATTGCTGTGAAGAACATCTGAGGATGTGTGTGCCGGACAAACCCACCTCGGGTCACACCCACTGCCTCAAAAGCACTTAACATTGTGGCGTGTGACTTAGTAGGACAACAGACGGTAGGGGGTCAGGGCACCCTGTGTTGCGGTACAGCAATTCCTCACTTCCCACCGTATTCTAACATATAATGTGTAGTTGAAACGGAATCGTTAAAATTCGAGCGGATTGGGATAGCGGTAACTCTCATACACTCGTATTCGGAACGTGTTCGGTTATCCTAACTCGAGGTTTTTCATAGTTTTCCCCAGTCCCTCCAGGCAAATGCTGGGATACAACCTTAAGCCACTGCAGCTTCGTTCCCCCGCCGTGTCACTGGATACTGTACACTGTACGCACTGCTCATAAACTGAGTTAAACATCATAGGAATCAACCGTTTGAAACATGGTTACCTAATGCTGAGTATATGTTTGATATGGGCAACGTATGTAGCACGCATGTTATGTTGGGAAACCTGAATGTAGACTGCATTAAGAGTGGTACCTCCTGTTTCAACATTCGGTATCTCGTTATTTTGCGCATAGTGTGTATGTGCGTGCGTGCGTGCGCCAATTTTGCGGGTAGAGGGTGTCGCGTGGTCAGAGCAACGAATCCCCACGGCCGTTAATTTCGGTCTTATAGACCGAAGCCGCTATTTCCTAGAAATAGCTCCTCAATTATCCTCACGAGGCTGAGTGGACCCCGTTCCAGACTCACTACTTCTCAGAAAAAATTGGTAACGCCGGGAATCGAACCCGGAACTCTAGATCTCTAGCCAGGAACTCTTGCCACTGGACCACAGAGGCGGTCGCTCGGTCGGTAGTAGTTCGCTAGTATATGTGTTTTGTATGATTCTTAGAATAAACTTCCATAATTTCCCAAAAGAGCATTATCAGATTTGCATTTGTAATGGAAATTCTGTGTGAGGGCGGAACTGGATTTTAAATATTATTTAAACAGTTTCAGGTTTCAACTTTGTATGAACCTTAAACAAGTGTAGACTGACTGATGGCTTCTGTGAGTCAGGGTAGTCTCGAGAAGCGAGCTTTTGCAGACACGGTAATGAACCTTCGAATTTCGTGAAGGTTTGGGAATGTTTTGACAGCTGAGCGACCATTAGCATCACGCTTTCTTTAAGCTGTATCATGCAGTAACTTCGAGAAGTGCCATTTCGGTTGACCGGCCTGGCGCATCATGTGTGAGCAAAGCTCATCCCGGGCGACGGGCCGGACCAGATATCACAGTGAGCCCAGAGCAGCCTACTATATTTAAATGAGGAACAAAGTAGTTCCCGGGCTCAGGAATGTTTTGTCGATCCCGCTGCCGGGTTCGAAGCTCGCATTGTGCAACAGAAATGACCTGCCCATCGTATGACCTCCTACAAAATGCTCGGAGCCGAAAGGCCAGCTGTTCTGTCTCGTTATGTGCGAGAAACATAACGTTGTTTCTGTCCAGTTGATTACTTCGTTCTTTTCATTTCCTGTTCTTTCGCTCTTCCTCCTTTTCTTTCTTTCGACCCTACGGGGCAAGTTGATGCATTAGGAGGTGCCTGGTTCGAATTTGAGTCGGGGCACCAACTACTTGACCGAGGATTTTCGTTGTTCGCCTCAGTTCCCATAGGCAGATACCGGGGCAATACAAAAAGGACTTAACGCCTTCACTTTCCACATCCTCGCCAGCTCATTAGCCACTCTGTTTAGACACTACACGAGCCCAGCGTTTGATTTCTCACACCGAATAAGCGACTACAAGAGAAGACACAAAATCTGACTTCATTTTCCGTCCGCATTTTGCATGCGGCCAAGTAGTTGCCATGAGGCTTATCAGCTTCGTGTGCATGTGCTCTTTTCACAAGGATCGAAACAAAATATCCTTTCGATGAGTTGTATGTACTACTCAACTCTTTAACTTTAAATGCCGAAAGTTTTCCGATTAACTTAAGATACTGTGTTAGGGGGAGGAACAGGCTCCCGCAGTGACCAGATGGGTCACACACAGCTTTCCCTCTCCCTTCACTGTAGTTCGCGTCATCCTTCCCCTTACCGGCTAAAAGTAAACGTCGAGAAAAAAAAAGCTATCTTGTAACAGGCCGTGGGGGCCCACAGGGTTATGAGGCGTCGAGGTTCCCACATTTTCTAGACAGTCAGCTCACAGATAGCGGTGAGATGAGCCTTACGCGCCGGCCGGCCGCCGTCGTTTACCCCAGAAAGATTCCTGGTACTCATTTCTGTTAGAGGCTGAGTAGACACGAGGGCCATAGTACGGCTGGAAGGTGCAGATCAATTGAAAAATGCGTGACCTCATCGGGAATCAAACCNCAGCCTTACGCGCCGGCCGACCGCCCTTTACCCCAGAAAGATTCCTGGTACTCATTTTACTCATTTCTGTTAGAGGCTGAGTAGACACGAGGGCCATAGTACGGCTGGAAGGTGCAGATCAATTGAAAAATGCGTGACCTCATCGGGAATCAAACCAGCGACCTCCGGCTCGTATCATAGTGCCTCAATCAACTACACTTCCTTCTGGCATCTATTAGACGCGGGGCTGGATGGACGTCAGCCGGTCTGAACGCGGTGTAAGGCACAGACTAGCCTATGGGTTCACTGGCCGAGCTGTCCCGGATAACGTTGTTCCGTATTTAAAGAAAGCCGTAGAAGTGTTCGAACTCTCATGTACTGGTCGCTCAGCCTTGGCCCAGAAGTGTCAGTTTGGATCATAGCTCGTTAACTTCATTGTGTTCCTGTGAAAGCCCGTTCTGGTTCCAGCAGACAGATTACAGTAGTAGAGCCCGGAAGTTCAACGCCACTATACGAAATCCAGTCATTAGACAAAAGCGTAGCCAGTTCCACACAAGCAGCTTTCCCGAGATCATCCTAATGGTATCGCCTCGTCTTCGTCTTGATCTTAAACGTGATAGTTTTACAGGCCGTTTTGTGACCAAATTTCTGTATGAATTGTCTCCCTCGCCTTAGCTGCAAACACAGTCTGTCATTTACTGCGAATCTCCTTATACTACGTACAGTAATAGCTTATTTCATTTCTTGGATCTGGATATTTTCCTGGACATTGTTTTTATATTAACTACTAGTAATTTTCGTTGGCTTCCTGAGGAGGTTCGATTCCCGGCGCTGCCAGATCTTCTGAGAAGTTGTGGGTCTGGAACGGGGCCCACTCAGCCTCTTGAGGATAATTGAGGAGATACTTCAAGAAAATGGCTGCTCCGGTCTAGAAAACCGAAAATAACGGCCATAGGGATTGGTTGCGCTGATCACGCGACACCCTGTTTCCGCTAAAGTTGGCACAAACTTTGCCGGCAAGCGGCGGGGGAAACCGAAGTACTCGGAGAAAACCTGCCCCCAGTACCACTTTGTCCACCACAAATCCCACGTGACCTGATCTGGGCTCGAACCCGGGCCTCCGCGGTGGGAACCGGCGACTAACCGCCTGAGCTATGGCACGACCATTCAGAATAGAGCGTAGAGAAATGCCCAGAGGCAGTGTTACACCTCCGTTCGCTTCTGTTAGGCAGCCCAACCTTCTTCCGCTTTCCTCCGCCCCCTTTCAGGCAGACTTCCGCTCAGGCATGAGCCACGGGTTCTTGGACGGTCTGTGTTAAGGTTCGGCCACACAGAGCGCTACGTACGCTATGTTCGCTATACGAACAGAAAAATATCTCCCTTTATTGCCAATGTGACTGGCCACACAGACTTCCGTACGCTACGTACGCTATGTTAGCTGCGTCGCAGAGTGTACACAGCGTACTTAGCGTACGTAGCGCTCTATGTGGCCGAACCTTTACACAACCGGCTATGCTCCGCAGCAAGGTTATCAGAAATGCAGAAAATTGCTTCCTAAGATTTTAAAACTACGATATGTGTATAAATTTATCTTTATTTCTATGAGAAGTGGATGATGTGTTTCTGAACGGAATAATAATAATAATTTGTAGATTCATTGTTCCCCTATTCCATTTTGAATGTAATGTTTATAATACTGTAAACATATTTAATTTTCTATGTTTTCAGGGCAGCCTACGTGTCGTTTGGTGGTCTTCTCATGCGTCTGCAAGGAGATGCCAACAACTTACATGGATTTGAAGTCGATCAGCACATGTACCTGCTTATGAAGAAACTCGCTTTCTAATCCACATTTTAGAGAAAAACGAAATCACATGTTTAATACTTAATATGTAAAATTGTGTAAAACAATGAATCGTTAATAAAACTGATGCCTGTGGTATCGTCTACACTAGACGAGAGAATGCTGCAGTATTTTTTTCGAACTCCGTATAGTGGTTTGTTGCTTGTAGACTTTTTCGGAATTTTCCTCAGTTGCCTGATACATTCATGTATGGCTTCGGCCACAGCATCTTTGATGATGCGTCATACGCCGAGTTTTCAATCTAACTGAAGAAGAGTTTGGTGTTCAAATTAGAATCTAATTACTTTATAATTATGGCTTAACGGTCTGTGTTATTACTTGATGATAACGAACCCAATAGTAAAGATGTTTTATCCAGAATCTACCTTCGGTCACTACTTTTCGTTTATAATTTAATTCATAACAATCCTCTCCTGTTCCATTCGCCGACCTTGTATATCCGTTGTAATTCTTTAAAAAAATGCACAGCTAAAAAGAAACAAATTCAGAGCTGCTTATGTCGTGGACTTCAAGTATCACCCCAGTGGAGTGTCTGCTAGATGAAGAATACTCAGAGCTGTCATAATTGGCCCTATCGTTAAGGGTTTATGCTTGTGTTTGTTTCATAATTTCACGGTAACGCAGAAAACAAGTTTACCACGTGCTGGACATGATTATTGTAAAAGTCAGTGGATGGTGGATATGCCTTTCTTCACTGACAGTACACCAGAAATGTACAGACAACGAGACCGGTTTAGAAATGTTATGGAAAGTATTACATTTCTCTTCTCGTGGAAACTAAAAGTTACTAAGTTGCTATTGCAGTCCTAAAGTGCATTATGTCTTAAGCCACCTCAATCCGGTTTGCATTCTCACAACTTACTTTGCAAATGTAATTTTTAATGCTGCTGTCCAATATACCTCTGTGGTCTAGTGGTCAGAGTTCCTGGCTACAGATCCAGAGGCCCCGGGTTCGATACCCGGCGCTACCAGATTTTCTGAGAAGTAGTGGGTCTGGAACAGGGTCTACTCAGCCTCTTGAAAATAATTGAAGAGCTACTTGAATGGAAGAGTAGCGGCTCCGGTCTAGAAAACCGAGATTAACGGCCGTGGGGATTCGTTGCGCTGACCACGCGACACCCTCTACCCACTAAAGTTGGCACTAACTTCGCCGACAAGCGGCGGTCGCTCGGTCAGTATAGTTCGCATGCGGACTAAAGCCACGGTGTTTGCTTTGTTGTCCAATATACCTTTGGTCTTAACTGATTTCGTTGTGTTTCCAGTTTAATTTGGTAACGCATTTATTGTTGCAAGAGGCTTGGATGCACTGCAGGGTTCAGTTCCCAGGATTTCATTAGCGTGCCAAGGAACAAGTTCAGTGTAGAAAATACAAGAAGCATTGCTGCTCCTCAATTACATAGCCAGGCCGCCCTGAGAGTCCACCTGCCGTTTCCTCTCTGCATACAAGTACGCTAGATCTGTTATATGATAAGGGCAAGTTGTCCCTGTGCTTAATTAATTAAGCAACTATGCCATGAAGACACATAGGGGAGTTGAAGTATAACTCCACCGTTCTTGACATCGTCACTAAATGGAAGCGAGTGGTCACCTTCATGTCCTGACCGCTTTACCCCCAGGGAAAGCGTCCCCGGTACTCCAGAACCGGTCTGCACGCTATCGAGAAGAGAAAAATCTTGTCCCTGCCGGGAACCAACCCCGTAGCTTGTCGCTATACAGACTGCGCTATCTCGATTCCTGTCTGCCACGGGGTAGAAGGGAAGTAACGGAGGAAGTTGGTTGATTCGTCATCTGTTTAATTGCTTAGTTTTGTTTTTGTTAATCAACAATTTGCAATGTTTTGCACCGGTACTCTCGGGATGCTGGGGTAGCACAGTCATAAGCACAAGGATCTGGACGGATAACTGGGATTCTATTCTTAGCAGGGCAGATATTTTCCATTTTTCAACCGCGTCCAGGTAACCCTGGGGCCCATGCAACTTCCTATCCAGTGTATACTGGGGTTCTGTTCAGCCAAGGTGTAAAACTGGCCACGCAACTTCGTCTGGTGCCGAGTTTAGGTATATTTGGAGCTATGCCCCCACCACCCCATACGTCTTCATGACGCAGTGCTTAATGAGTCACAGAGACAGCTGTGCTTCGTAGCTTTTTCACCAATATCCTTGCGTCGCCTCTGTTTTCATAGTTCTCAGGTCCTCTCTGTTCCTCGGCCAACCTTGTACCTGCGGTTGCTGCAACTTGTGTACCCAGCAACAGCACTCTGTCCCACACAAGAGACTTGGCCAGTCTTCCCTTGAATATGTTAAGCTTACGGTAAGTAAGATCACTAGCACATGTCGCACGCAATAAATTACTTTACGATTCATCTTACCGTGGGGATGCCTTGTAAGTTAAGTTCACCTGTACTATTATCTGCTGATCACATGTACAAGTCTTCTGGAATGTGACACCGTGTAAACTGGTAGGTGATAGGTAGCAACTCTGTAGTTGAAGGCACTAGGTTCGTCAGAAACGTTAATAGCCATCGACCAGACTTCACACCCCAGAAGACGGCAGTCTTAATACTCATTATCATGATAATCTCATGTAATAATTGTAAAGTTTGTATCTGAATTGAAAATGTTGGAAGCTAGATGCTAGGGGGAAAGAGGAAAGAAGTTTTTTGAACAACGTTTTCCACCCCTTAACACATTGTTTTTGTAATCATTTTTAGACATCTTGTGTCTGAATTTTAGAATTATATGTTCTTTTAACCCTTTCCATACTACACACGAAATACATCACATAACAAATTCCTTCAGTATGATTTTTTTTAGATTAGTGAAAGAAGTCTCTCCCACCTTCGCAGTTAAAGGAATGCAGTTCTTTTAAGAATGTACTGGACAGTGTGAGAGTGATTTGGCCTGTAGTCAGAGGTAATTTCCTCAACCCCCGAGGAGAACCAAAGGCAGTTTCCTGTATTTCAGAAGACCATAAAATGAAATGGACATAATATTTATGGTAAAAAAAAGTTAAATCATCCTGTAACATACCGTGGAGACTCATAGGGTTGTGAGACGTCGAGGCTTCGACATTTACTAAACAATCGGCTCACAAATGGCGGTGAGGTCAACTTTACGTGTCGGCCGCCATTTGCCCCCAGGAGGATTCCTGGTGCTCATCTATCAGAGGCTGAGTCGACCCCAGGGCCGTCGTACGGCTGGAAAAATTAGGTTAATTGAAAAGCCCAGTGACCTCATCGGGAATCCAACCGCGCCCTTTCGGCTTGTAGCATAGTGCCTCAACCAACTACGCTACCGTGTGCCCCCAGATAAAACTCTCCATGTAATAGGCCGTGGAGGCTGAGTAGGTTAGTTATCAAGTGTACAGCAAGTCTAAATAAAACCGCGAATCTTACTCATTATGACATTTCTGTCTCAAAGTACCAACTAAACTGCAAAAATTGTTTTATTCTGATTGGTCGTGTGGAGTATTTTTCAAGCGAAGGCACATGATGTTACTGTGGTTCATAAATAGCCTACGTCTAACTTAGGAAGTATGTGGGAATAATAAAGCAAAACATAATTTCGAAATTTTAAATTCCAACCAAAAGTTAATATGAAAATTATCCCTGCGTTGTGACGTCCTGTAGTTTCACAGAGAGCCCTTCATGTCTGAGGTACATACGTCCTCCATCTTCAAAATCCCTGAAGTAAAAAGCTAACAGAAGTAGCCGGCAAGAGGAGCGAATATGTTCCTCCGAAACGTCGTGCTGTCTCCGAACTACACGGTATTACCACCCATAATACCGTGCTCTTCAGAGTCACCGCCCCCAGAACTTCAAATCTGACGTGCACAGAATTGTTCCAGGATTCGAACCATGCTTTTTTTTTCTTTTTGAGGACATATACTACTACTACTTACAGAGTGTACTGAGTGTCAGACGGGTCGAACTGCAAGAGGCTACTGCCAGGTGTTTCCCAATCCCTTCAAGAAGGTGCTGGGACAGTACCCCCATTGGGCCATGACGACTTCCTACCATTTCCTTTCCGTTGCTTCTAGCATCCCACGGTCCAAAGGTAGAGGTGCCCCTGCAACAGGCCACGAAAGCCCATAAGTATGTGAGAGGTCGAGGCTCCCACATTTTCTAGACAGCGGTGAGGTTGTCAGCCTTACACTCCGGACTCCCATTACCCCCAGGAAGATTCCTGGTACTCATTTCTGTTAGAGACTGAGTCGACCCCAGGGCCATAGTGCGGCTGGAAGGATTAGGTAAAGTAAAAGTAAAGTCCCTGTACTTATTAAGCACTACGCCATGAAGGCGTATTGGAGAACGGATGTATAGATCCACATTTTCTTGATCTCTGGACTAGTTGGAGGTGGGTGGCTAGCTTTATGTCCCGCCTGTTTTACCCCCGGGGAAAGAGCCCCCAGTACCCATTGGACAGGAGGCTGGGTGTGGCTGGAATGGTTAGGTCAACTGAAAAATCCAATGACCTCATCAGGATACGAACCCACGATCTTCGGGCTTGTAGCATGCTGCCGCAACCAACTACGCTACCTCATGGTCCCCAACTCTATGCAGTCTTGAAATTGAAAACGCCGTTAAATGAGCGCCGAAACGAGGACGACAGGAGGAAAAGAAACAAGAAATAAGGGCACGTTCACACAGAGTGACATCGGTCGTACGATCTCCGTACGGTTCATGTCTCATCAAATAGTAGAATATAAATTGTAGTCTTAGCTTTCATATGTGACGACATGCGACATCTACCGTACGACAGTCGGACAAAACCACACGTACAGCGACTGTACAGCGACAGTGGGTGATGCAATCCAGTTCTGTGATTCACATTACGCGACTTCAGCCATACGAACCCTGGATACGCGCTTTCGGTGCATCGTTCATTGTTCCTTCATCAAAACTGCGATTCGGTGCGGATAAAGTCCCTCTAGTGTGAAAAGGAGGTCATACGGCAAAAAAAATCGTACGACTTTTTCCGTACGACCGATGACGCTGTGTGTGAACGTGCCCTAAGAAAGGGGAAAAAATGTCACGCTGCGGGAGAAGCAGTGGAACGCGTATTATGAGATCAGTGAAAACACGAACGAGAGACCATTTGG